TCTAGAGACTCTTTCTGTGGTAGAAAGTAGCTTCATTAAAAACTGTTCTGTGGATTATCTAAGGTAACCAGGACCAGGGCCTTAACCAAGATTTTAGATATGCCGAGGTCATGAGTCCAGTCTTGCTTCGTGTGAGCACAAACAAATTACCATTCACATCTGTTGCATGGATTCAGAAATCTCACTGACAGGTATCAAAACCTGACCACATAAAACCGACTGAACTAAACAGCTTTTTTGGAGGAGTTGACATGATGTCTGTGTGAGCCAGCCAATCACAACAATCAGAGCGCAGGATTTCCCCACCGACGACAACAACCACAATCAAACTGGAGCGTGTCATGGAGGGAAAGTAAGCAGTATTTGTTAACTATGATAAACAAGCACCGGTATGGAGTAGGTGTCGGCTGTGCCGTGGGAGTTTCTGTTATGAGTGTGAAAGTTGTACCAAATGCGAAAAAGTGTTTGCTGATTTGTGTGGTGTGACCTTCTTTCCATCATCAGCACAAAATAATGCTGAGGCAGCAGTTTTTCTACCCAAAAAAAGGTGCGACAGTAAAGCATTTTTCTCTCGACAGGTCTTAATAATGTTGCCTTACAGTGAGTCAGACCTTTGTCAGAGTCTGACACATACAAAACCGAGTCGCGTCAGATCGACACCAGACCCCTTCAGAAAGCCACTGAAGCCCCAAATCCTCAGGAAAAAATAAAAAATGTGTTTGTACTGGGAACCTCCCAGTTCTAAATTAGTGAGAACTGAAAAAGTGAAACTGTTGTCGAAAAGAAAACTGTTTTCAGTCAACTTTCCCGGCATAAAGACCTTAGACGTGGGGTTTGCTGACCTTTACGGCATCTTTTATGTGACAAAAACTGGGCTGCTGCAGATAATGAAAATGATAAATTGTTGTATCTGGAAAGGAAAAGCAAGAACACCCTCTGGAACATACTGTACACCACAGCGAGAGAGAATTCCAGTTCCAATACGATGGACCTGACTGAAGGGGAATTTTCTCCTTCACCAGAATCCATCCTCACAGAGCCGACACTGAGACTGCATCAGTGCTCCAAATTCAAGATATGAAATCATGCACTGAGTGTTTCCTAGTATGGAACACAAGGCCTAATATAAGTGTACTAAGGAACTCTTGCAGTTTCCGTCACCCTTTCTAGAGAAGCTCGTGTGAAGCAACAGGATCATTTTGAGCAACATGTCAGCAACATTTCAATGAGCAACACAAACACTCCTGTACCCAAGATCTGACCTTTGACCTCCCTGTGGAGAAGTGCCAGAAATGTTTTAGAATTAAAGAATTTCCCTCCAACAGCAGCCTGATGGCAGCTCAAGAGCTTCATTGCTGCATCAATGGAATTTACCTTTTCTCTCCCAACAAAGTTTGTGACACCTGAACTTTGCTTTGTAAAACTTCAATGTTACAATATTACATTGACAGCTATCTGGAAATCCATCAGTTTAAAAAAAAAAAAAACTTTTTTTTTTCTTCCTGCCCGCCCGGAGTTTTTCGACTAACGGAAGTGCAGGGGCCTCTGCTATCGCTCATGCCCTTCACTTCCAGCGGTGCCCCCAGGAAATCGCCGTGTTGTTTACAAATACTTTGGGTAGAAAACCAGCAGAGTTTAGCTATATATCACATTTTTCACGTCACTATATCACCGTGTAGACTAATCTGATGTTTGTTAAGTCTATAAACACAATGACTGAACAAACGTTACTATTTCTGTGTGCACGTTTTGTAATTAATAACATGGTTATCGTAGATTTGCTGGGCTAACCATTAGCTGTTAACGTTAGCCGTTAGCGGTGTCTGTAATAACCACAGACGTATAAAAATAAGGTAATAACTCAATAAACGGTCCGTGAATAAAATATTTTTTCCAGCGGATATCTTAGTTACAACATGATTGAGCTAGCAAAGCAGTTTTGTGTTGCTATGTGTGGTATTTATTCAGTTTTGGGAAATCACGATGTCTAGAAAGCATCAGTGGCTGCAGCTGACAGGAACAGTTAGCAAAGCTAACATCAGGACGTCATCTGTTAAAAGCCTCCCGTTGTCGGATACCACATGAAACTACTCCAGTTAGCTCAATCATGTTGTAACTCAGACATCCGCTGGAAAAAAAAAAATTTTCACGTTGACGAGACGGCGTTTTAGGTGGAGCGATCGCTATGGACACGGAGCTTGCTGTTTCTGTAGGTACACATTTCCTGGGGACACCTGCACGTCTCGGCCATGCCCCCTCCATTGTGACTGGCTAAAGCTTCGTAAGATTCTACAATGTAAATTGCAGAATCTGTCTTGAGAGATTACATTGACAGTGACTAAGAGACAGTGCAGTAAGTAAGTCAATAAGCTCTGTCAGGTCTTGTTGATGCCAAGTGTAGTAGGGTCAATACTTGCTAAGCTTGGGGACAACAATACTATACAATAATATTACAATACCAGTACTTCAAAAGGGATATGCCACCAGAGGCTTGCAGCCTGTAGTATAGGCACACTTATGAACGTTTTGGTGGCATCTTGGTATGCTGAACTGCCAACTCTGTCAAATACACCGCACTCAACTGCACCACACCAAACTGTGTGTGTTATAGCTGCTGCGGTAGTGGACGAATCATAGGTCGCATTAAATCGGAGAATGCTTGCGGAGATTGGCAGCGAGCAAAACCACATAAGAGGGGGGATGACATGAGGCAAAGGGTCACAGGTCGGAATCAAACTCGAGCTGCTGCAGAGGACTCAGCCAATGTGGGGCAAACAATCTACCAGGTGAGCTAGACGTCGCCCTGAAGTTGTGTTTGACTGGAGAACTTTCGATACTACTCTGGACTGGGTCATTTCAGTTGACACCTGTTAACCAATACCCAGATCTAGTACCTGTGCACATCAGACTGGTGCATCACTGATGATAATTATCTGTAATTCAATCCAAAGCATAAAAAGTAGGCACCTACGTGTCTGAGCCACTGCGTCTAGTAGCTGGAGGAAACGTGCAACACCTGATTCGTCCCTGGTCAGAAGGAATACGCTGGAAATCCAGGGACAAAGCTCCACAGCAGTCTCTTGAACAGTTGGGTTATACATGGAAGCCCAGGTGAGATGTGTTACAAATATCAGAACGTGTGTGTGTGTGTGTGTGTGTGTGTGTGTGTGTGTGGTTTATTCATACAGAAACACACCTGTCTTCACAAACGGAACACAGGAACTGGACTAGACTGAGCAGCAGACATGTGGCTCGCCGCTTTGGAGGTTGGAACAGACTAACACAACTGTGCTGAGAAGTGTCGCATGATCAAGCTAAGGCTGCTGGGAAATGGAGTTCTTAAAGGGTAACAGGGAGTTTTGCAGATCTGCATGGAGCAAATCAAACAGACAGTGCTCCGTGTTTTACAGTGTAACAGTACTTTGAAAATGATTGTGACAGGATCAGAGAACAAAACTCCAGTGACAGTAATTAAAGTGATGAGGGCCCTTCAGTGATGGGTGATATGAGTAAAAACGAATTTATCATAGTTATGTTTGATGAAGGCACTCCATCAAAGTGATGCAAAAAATTGTTTAAATCCAGTCCTGCTGCATAGTTTGAACATCTCTTGCAACGGCCTACACAGCCACAACTCTCACACTTTAAACATCGACTAGCAACGTCTCTCAGAGTTTACACAACTGTATCATCTGACAGCACGGGTGCATTCTGAGTCGCATACTTTTTCTTTTTACTGCCCTTGAAAAGTACGTACTGTTGCATGCATGCACACAATCAGGACATACTATTTCCTAATAACATTACACCCTGAACTCTGACCGTCTTGCTTTTATATCCGTTACTTTGGGGATAAACGCAACTCACCGAATTCGAACTCAAGAGCTGTGCTGTTGTCACTTTGCAATGTATGCATATTGTACATTCTATTTTGTTTACTTAATCAATATTCCTATAATTACTATTCGACTGGTCATCAGTTACTTGAATGCGCTGTCGTCCGTCATTGCGACTTCTGACAGCTGTCAAGTTGCTGCTCAGTCGATGTGACGTATCGTCAGCTGTGTTGATTGTGGGTCAGAATAGTCCGAAAACATCCTGGCAGTTTTCTGCATCTGACATACTATGTACTGGGACATGCTAAATCTCTTTGTGGAGTACTATATAGTACGGGTATTAGAGCGCACAGTAGATGTCATCAGATTGCCCAAACACTGGGTCAATCTGTGTGCATTTAAATAAATTATACAAACTGCAATAAGAGTCAATAATGCAGCAAATATTAACTGCATTACATTTTCTGTTTCAATAGGATCGTGTGTTTGCTCTCTGCATTTATCTTTTATTATATCCACAGCAACCAAACTGAGTTGGATTACCCCAGTATTGATAAGCATGTTGCAGGCTACTACATATGATCTACGTCAGTGCACTCTTCTACACTACAGTGCCTACTAACAGATCCCAAATCTACCCTGACTCCCTCCTCAGAGGTCTACACAAGGTACAGCTGCACATCCAGCACTGGGGACACTCAGGAGGAGAGCTGAGGACAGACGTGAGGTTCTCCACACAACACCCAGTGCACTGTGTGTTTGCTCATCTCGCTGATGTGTGTGTGTGTGTGTGTGTGTGTGTACAGATCTGACTGCGGGGAATCCTAGCCTGATGACGTATGTCTGCGATGCACAGCTGCAGGGTTAGCCGCAGGCCTGCTCTGCATTAGCTGCACACACACTGCATGACACCCACCATACGTGTATCCACCCGCTGTCCCTTGCACGTGCACTGTCACGTCACATCGACACTTGGTGAGGACTGTTATCTGAGTTTGGAGCAGTTTGTCACTCTGTAAATACAGGGCAAAGCCAGAGGTCCTCACTGCTGCATACAAATGCTGCCGTGATAACACTGCAAACGAGCCCAGCTAGGCTTCATTTTGACTGTCTAACGGCGGCGGGCTGCGGCAAAATGTCGGATTAACTGTAAACATGTCTCACCTGGATCCCCAGTTAGGTGGAGGAAGCGCCTTCGGGCTACGACAGGCTCATTTTTCGTAAATATCTGGTGAAACCGTCGATCCTCATAACTGTTTCTCTACAGCCATTTTGAGCCAAACCGTCAACTTGATCAGGCGGGTGAAACAAATATTAGCGAGTTACTAATTAATGTCATTTCTAAGCTTAAGCGTAACAAAATTAATTACATTCAACCTAGCAGACGTTAAGTTTGTGTTTTAGTGGGATAAAAGTGTTTCAGACGGTTGAGGAAGCAATATTATGATGTCAGTATTTCCGGTGAACCCCCGTGTAAGCAGAAATGGTACAGTCCGAAAAATTCCGGGGACCTACTTCGCTGTGCTGTGTGAGAGCAGCCAATGAGCGGCTGAGTAGTAACCTGTGTCAGTACAGCACTGAGCTGCTGTCACTGTCAGACAGCTGGCAACATGGCTGACATATCAACAGTTTACTGAATGGCTAAATCAGGATGTTGCAACTATAATGTAACTGTGACATTATCTACCACATCAGTGATTTTATTAGAGAAATACAAACAAACAAAATTGTGGAAGAAATTATCAGTGTTTTTTATTCAGCATAAGTAGCAATGCCACAGTGTAAATGAAACTATTCTGTGTTTACATTATGAATTAAAGGGACACTCCACCGACTTCACACTGTCTTTTCCCTCTGTCTCTCAGAAGTCCCCCAACTTTACTGGACTGCACCTTCAAGAAAATACAGAATGTAAAGTAAATTAATGAAGAAAGTAAAACTATTTACTTTGCAGGCAAAATGGCCTCTGTTGGTGTCATATTATTCTACATATTGATGGCTTTTTATTTGTTCATTTATTTATTCTATTGATGCATTACCATATAATATATAAACCCGGAGTGGGTTTCCTCCAGGTGCTCCAGCTTCCTCCCAACAGTCCAAAGACATGCAGGTGTAACAGAGTTTTGTTGTTTGTTTTTGATTCACATTTTAGTTTGTACCTGTATTGTGAATTCCCATTGGTTGGCGGGCCTCTCCTCAGTCCATAAATTCTGGCTGTGACGTTGGCACAGTGCCAGTATGAGAGGATTGTGCCCATGGTAGGTTATACAAAGCACAGCGTTACTTTAAATCTGTCAAAATAACATAATTCAGTGACACAGCTACCATGATATAATGTCCAACTATATTACAGAAAGTGGCGACTGCATTGTACTCACTTGAATGTATCAAATTGTCTATATTTTGTCAGTGTTTATACTGTAGTTAGCTTCCTTAGCTCCTAAGCTAAGCTAACATTTGCTAACTTTTCTATAGCGCTGTGCCTTAACATTACTGTGCCTACGTGACTGACCAGTGGATTTTCATGCTGTATTCAGGCAATAAACGGTCAAAAGTCGAAGAGTGTCGGTCCATACTTCACACAACACAACACAGACTGAAGGAGACTGAACAACAGTTACACAGGTTAATTGGTGACTCTAAATTATTGGCTGTGAGACAGTGTGTCTCTATGTGTCTGGCGACCTGTCCAGGGTGTACCCCACCCCTCGCCCAATGTCAGCTAGGATAGGCTCCGACCCTTTTTGCTTTCAATTGATGGTGCAATAATACTCTTTGTTATATCATATACAATATAACATTGATTATCAGGCACAGTCTGCTTCTTTCCAGCCATTTTAGTCTATTTCTACTAACTCTTGTACTTATCTTACTCCAGGCATGTCCAAAGTCTGGCCCGCAGACCAATTTTAATTGGCCCCTTAGCTTGACTTTCAAAATATACCATATGTGGTCCTTTACACAATAATGGTTAATCGAGCAAGATCACTTCGTATTTTTACCTTTCACCTCACAATGACAGGACTATCATACAGTTTGTAGACAGGCATCAAGTAGTAATAAATCATTAAAAGATAAAAATGGTTGCATTTGTCTCACTTATTTTTTTAAACCCATTTGATTCGAGAATCAGCTGGCCCCCAGGTATTTTCATATTATTTTATCTGGCCCCCTTTCAAAAAAGTTTGGACACCCCTGTCTCACTCCTACTGTTACTCTATCAGGCACTGGTTTTGCTTTTGCTCCTTGAAAACACTTCTTATCTTGTATATTTGAATATTCTGCCAGATATTTAATACTCTATTGTTTTTTATAACTGGGTCCAGTGAGTGACCTGACCCGGGGAACCCACTGGTTGTGAACATTTAATTGTTGTTACTGTAATTTGAAGCATTCTCTGGCACAAGAATTTCCTTCAGGATAAATAAAGTTCTATTAAATTGAGTTGAACTGAATGGTGCTGGACAAGGTGGAGCTCATTTTTAGCAGGGATCAAACTCTCCTGATACTTTTTTAAAATTAACAGTTTTATTTTGGCTTTCTCCACACATTCAACAAAGGAAAATCAAAAAAGACACGTCCCAGTGGTCTTTCAGGCTTTTATCAAAGTCAGACTGCCTGTTCCATGTTCAGCAAGTCCAGGTATCCCTGCAGCCATGAACCCCTAGAGAAGCCTGCTTAAAGCTCCTTCCAGTTTCCAGTCCCCATACTTACATACTATATAGTATGCCAGAAAAAGTTATAGCAACATAACAACATCAGAGCTCTGCAGGTTGACCTCCATCTCTAGCGAGCTTAGTGACCGACATTTTGTTTTATCTCTATGGTAACAGATATATTAGGAAGAGGGTCAAAGTTCAGGGCATAATGTTATGAGGAAGTAGTATGCCCTTGTGTGCATACTGCATGCAACAGTACGTACTTTTTAAGGGGCAGCTGCAGCACCTACTAAACGGAAAAGTAAAAAGTATGCGATTCGGAACACACCTTTCGTCCTGTAGTAGATATGCCACCCAGAGTCCACAGGTGATCGACAGTGACGCCAACATCATTGTCTGGTTTCAGGCCCAGCAGGCATGCTGTAGGACACACTGGGAAAGAACAGCTGGACAGAACAATATGCATTAGGGGCAGCCCTGGACATTAAGTTATAGATATCTGAGACCACGCCTCATGCAATGTTGTCTTCTCTAACAGCTGATCCCTCTCCAAGCATGAGGCAGGTGCAGCTCCCTCTTATATTTCTGCTTCATAATAGAAGACAGTTGAGTATGTGTTATAAAGACGAGTCCAGACGGCCTGAATTCCTCCCTGATACTGATTTAAATATCAAGTATCAATATATCAGATATCACTGATCTCTCTTTGTCACAGATTTAAACTCTGTGTACTTCACTGTAGAGAATTCAATGGCATTATTTTATGTGAGAACTGCTGCAGTCCTAAAAACTGAGCTGGTTAACCACATAACTGAATAGAGGAAACAGTAAATATCATAATGACATGTTACTGTATTTAATGTAATATCAGCTCAGGCAGGATTTCATTTATTACCTCGATAGATGATCTAAGCACACAGATACACTTCAGACATATGTTGGATATATGGTCATGTATATACACATGCTGTACATTCATGCCGCTACATGTATCCCCACATACACAGGAACAAACATGTAAACACACATCTATATATAGTATTCAACAGGGTATTTTATGTAACGCTGCTACAGTAGAAGGGATAAAACTCCCAGCCTTCATTTCTGCACACATACTACGTTAGTGTAAGTCCTGTAGGGTACATATGTATTACAAAGGGCAACCAAATCGCCAGAATAAATGTTAGCATTGTACATTTCTGCAGCCCACATGTACGTTACATTTGTACGCTATTATGAAGTGGCAACCTCCGGGGATAAAAAACATGAAGCAAACATGGAAGTGCCAAAACCTGCAGTTCTTTGAACAGCCACTAGAGGCTGGCTCCAGAAGCTAGTTAATCCCCGTAGACGCCCGTGTTAAAATGTCCAACTTTGAAGCAGAAATAAACATGTTTACAGCCTGGTACAAAAAACAGTTTTGGTCTCTATAGCTAATTTCCCCTTTCATGACAACTGTATGAGGTGTAAATTTTTATATAACTCACCTGTTAACATTTTATTAAGGCTTAAAGTTACGCAAAATTAGTGGATAGTATCCTCAGGCTTAATCAGATCAACCCCTCGCTCCTCCACAGCTCCAGCTTTTCATCCAAATGGGGATGCACCGATCCGATATGTGGATCGAATATCAGCCCCGATATCATCAAAATAGATGGATCGGGTATCGGAAAATGCAACCTATACCTGAGGCTATCCTTTCCCTTTAAATCTATTGCGACGCGAGCTATGACGTATGACGCCAGCTACGTCATACGTCATGGAGGTGTTTCACACTATTTCAACTGCTGTTGCACAATTGTTTATTTTTGTTAAAAATAAATAGTTCATCATTGCGTTCATCTGTTTCATCTTGTTTCATTTTATCTGAGGAAAGAACTGCGTAGTCATCAATGCCTGATGCCTCTAGTCTTTTCTGTTCTACATGTGAAGGTATATAGCTTTTTAGGTCAACCATGGTATCGGATCGGTATCGAAACTGAAAAAACTGGATCGGTGCATCTCTACACACAAATATGGCCCAAAAATCAAGATTGCAACAGTCATAATAACGAACTCGAGGCTTCAAAACAAAAGTCCATAAACCAATGGGTGACATAATCGTAGCTACATCCAGTACTTATACCATCTATTGTTATTATGTAGTGGATAGATTGAAACTTTACATTTCAACAGTGCTGTTGTTAATGTGTGGATGGATTTAGACATAAAAACACTTTGTTATTATTACGAAAAGATCATGTTTACTCGCTTTTGATGGCTTGATCCTGGCTGGACATGCAGCAATGTCTCAGTAAAAAAACAGCCGCTTTTCATGGCACTATCACGGCAGGAGATGCAATGACGTCTCTTTAACAACAACACCTTTTTGTGGCACTATTTTTGCAGGAAACACAGCAATGTCTCTGAAGAAAACAACGGCCTCACGTGGCATTATCCCCGGTGGAAACGCAGCAATGAACTGCTAAAAAACAACTGGTTGTGTTGTTTGTGTCTCTTGAACTGTCATCTGCAGTGGTCTGCAGCTTAGCAGGCATCTCGCCTAGATGTCACACCACCCACTATCCCCTCCACCTCCACCTCCACTTCCACCTCCGGATGACAAAGTCAGCTCACA